TTCTTTTAAATAGCTTAGTTTTCCCCATTAATTGGTTAATTCAACTTAGGTTAGATTAATAGGGTCTTGGTAGTGTAGGATAGTCCTCGAGGGAACGATATCTTACTCATCTTATATTGCATAACCGATTAGGTTCACTTGCCTAAAAGTAGTACGTATTTGGTGCATCAAGTTTTTGGCGCCGTTGCTGGGGAAAACTAAGCTAATCGGGGAAAACTTGATGCACCAAATACGTACTACTTTTAGGCAAGTTAACCTAATCGGTTATGCAATATAAGATGAGTAAGATATCGTTCCCTCGAGGACTATCATACACTACCAAGACCCTATTAATCTAACCTAAGTTGAATTAACCAATTAATGGGGAAAACTAAGCTATTTAAAAGAAAACTAAGTCGACTAAAGAAAATTAAACTAAAGAATTTTTTAAGTTAAAGAAACTATGAATGAGAAGGAACTAGGGTTTGGATTTCATTTAATTCTGAATTATGCAACTATTTCATTAATTTAATTCAAGTTCAAATAATAGTGTTATTGCATGAGATGACGGATTTTCCTAAATTAATTAATCAGCTTTCTCAAGTCAAGCTAATCCTTCATTTGTTTGCTAAATTAATCATATCTCTATGTAATTTTAAACAAACTAATGAGTATTAAATTCTATGAAAATCTCTAGTTTAAGAAGGGGGAGCTACTAACTCTCTTCTCTTCCTCCACTATCACATGTGAGCTAATTACCTCTCGGTCTCATAGTCTAACACACGGTTTATATTATTATTGGTCTAATTTACACAATTCTTTCTCAAGTTCATGTATAAATCACTAAATCAATTGAAATGTGATCAAGCTCTCAATGCATTAAGTTCAATAATATAAACTCGTAATGCAAATAACCAATAAATCTTGAATTAAACTAACAAAGACAGTCACATACTTCAAACATTAAAATCCACCCATCCCTAGTTCAAAGAAAACTAGCCACACATGTTTATGTTCTCAACAACCATGAAAAATAAATCCCAACAGAAAATCATAATAAAAAGAAATCAGAAACAACAAAACCCAAACGGAGAATTGCAGTTTGCCGAATGATGTGTTGTGGTCGGGATCTCCCAAGAAGGCTGGGCGGCAGTGTGGCTGGGCGGAGAAAAGCAAGGCTGGGCGGCGGCTGTCCTCTTCTGCTGCTGGTGAACAACAGAGGCGGGTGCTGGGATTTTGGGCGGCTGGGTGCTCTTGACCTTGCGCAGAACAACTTCTCTCGCGTAGAACAACTCTCTTGCGTCTGTGTATCTCCCCCTTTTGTTCTGCCGACTAGCATCTTATATCTCACTCCAGAAATTAAAACCCTTATTTCTTTTAACCCTAGCAGACATGAGTTATGGGCTTTAGTTTGGGCCTGGACTGCAGTTGGCCCACACTTATAAAACACAACCCAATTCTCTTTATTTCTGCATTCTGTTCATTCAAAACCGTCACTTTCAACCAAAAATATGTATTGATACAGCTAGAACTGGGTTAAGCTCATAAAACATCAATTGTAGCTCTGCCTCTTAGCTTTCCAACGCCTAAAGAAACATCTCAATCCGATACCTAGAGAAAAAGATATGGTTAAATTACTACAGCATATGCAAATTGTCACTTATTACAAAATTAATTCCTATCTTAATTTCCACCCACAAATAATGAATTTAATATAAACAAAGGTGAAACTAAGTTACAAAAAACCGATAAAATTTAATTCTAGGCTCAAAAAGGGTAGATAAATGCATATAAAAATTAAACTCATCAAATACCCCCAAACTTAAATTCTTGCTTGTCCTCAAGCAAAAGAAAGCTAAAAAAAAACAGAGCTCATGTACATTCTTCCC